TTCAGAGTAATTGGGCGGACAGGGTCGTGTGACCCGTTCCTGAGGCTAATGCAATCTGCGGGAGACGGTCAGGACTTGTTAAACACTCGGAAGAGGGGAAGGGACAGACCGGGCCTGGACACGGGAGGGGGCGGCCTCGAAAGAGGTCGAGCGACTTCAAAGGAGGGTACTGTCAGGACGACATAAGCAAAGGCGAAGTGAGGGGAGCGGGAGGGAAAGCACATACCTCGAATGGGATGATCGGGACGGGAAAAAAAGGTCCAAGCATCGAAAGTACTGTCCAGGCGATAAGCGGAATGCAAGAGAGTCTCGCGGACGTAGGCGGCCCAATCGAGGCCAAGGATAACATCGACATGCACGGAGCGGACGGAGGCGTGGATGACGCTGGACAACGGCGGGAACCCCGGAACGGTGGTCGTGAAGAGCAGCCCGGTGTCGCTAGGTCGGACGAGGCGCTGATAGAAAACAGCGGATACCGCAGTGCAGGGAACCGCATCAAACAAAACACGGGAGACAGGAACACCGTCGATAGAGAGAGACATCGAGGTGGACGTGAGGTATGCTGGAGGTGGACGAGAGGGATTATGCTGGAGGAACGGCGAGCGACAGAGAGTCAGAGGGAGAAGGCAAGACGACAGCAGCAGATGGCAAGTGTCACGAAACATGATGATCAGTCACGAAACATGATGGCTTGATGAAAATTTCCTTTTTAAAAAAATTCCCTAATGCGGGGTGTTCAGAGCTTCACCACAAAACCCACTATCAATATAGATAGCGGGCAAAATGCGCCCCAATCCAGGCAATTGCCCAAAATCATTCCGGATTTTCATGTGCCATTGCACGACCTTGGCGGTTCCCAATGTCCGGAATATTGGGGACATTGCCAATGTTCGGAACCATTGGGAAGGCATTGAGAGGCATTGCAGAGCAACACACATATTACACTAATAGCGAAGTATTCTCGTAGTTTTGTACCGCTCAGCTGCTTGATCTTCAAAACAAAGGGAACAAAAGGATGGGAAAAACACGACAGAATATGATTAAGGCATAGGACCGTATATGGGCGATGAAATGTATGTAACAGACTATTAGGGCCTGACAAAAAGGTTTTGAATGGTTGACTCGACGTGGAGTTTGAAGCGAGGGCTAGGATGGACGGCGAGAAGGGCGGGGAGAAATATGGTATAGGAAGGTAGTCGCGCGATAGGTTTTGCAGCTTTGGAAGGACCGAAGCTGGAGGACCGAATGACAGGATCGAGGGTTGGGTTACGAGGGGAAGAGGTCATCTTGATTCACTAGAGGAGTTTGCGGCAGAGTGTTTGGATCCAAAAGGCTTGAGCTGCGACTTTGAGGCTTGTTTTCGGCTTGCTAATTGCTTGCAGATTTCTAATTGTTTGCTTGAAACACCCTGAGTCTTCCGAGGCTTGAACGCGGCACATATCTTGGGCAGATTCGGCACATTGAAGCACAGCATAGGAGGAGCCAATACTCGAGAACAGGGATAGGGAAGGTCGCTGAAGCACACCAGTACTATATTCATACCCATTTCAACAGAGAAGGCTGCCTCCCGCCACGGGATCGTCACCAATGTCGCCAACGGCGCGTGCCGCATTGTGCTGGTGTTTGCAAATCTTCTGGGCCAGATCGCGGTGAAGAGGGGAGGAGCACAGACTCTGGAGCCACAGGCCTGGTGTTGCAGCTTGTGGATGGTGAGCCCAAGAGCAGTTGGGGGAAGATTGGGGGAGGACATGAAGTGGGAGAAAGAGAGAGAGCGTTCAGACGCGATCAACATGCACGTGATGGAAACCACAAGACCAAGCAAGTGCACGGACCATGATAAGATCATCGATCAATACTGATCCGTTGTACATCAGACTGAATCGACCGTCGCCTGCTCAAAGGAACGAGAATTCACGATGATCGAGGTTCGACGGAATATGCGGGACATTCAGGTTAGATCCTGCATCCTTTGTGTTTGGACGAAGAGATCTCGGGCCTGACAGTTCAACTTGAAGCGACTCAAGCGATGCATTGACCAGCAACTTGAAGCTAGTTTGAAGCTGATGCCGAGTCTGGACACTCCGACTACACTCCGTGAATAGTGGAAGGCTTGAACGGGTGTCGAATATACATCCTTGTAATTTAAATTTTATTGGTTGTCCCAACATAAGCTCACAGTGGCTTGACCATGCAAACGCCGGTGATGCATTGGAATGTCTTACCATGCTTCCGGATAATCGCCACCGTTGTGGATGGATTGCCAATGTGACGGAAGGCTTGGGACAACATTGCACACGCCTTGCCATCATTGCAATCACATTGCAATCAACCATCAGCCTGGCGGCATTCGCATGGGATCAGAAGGTTTTTCCGGTTTTGGTGATGTCTTCTCTTCCTTCCGCACCACAATGTCCTCCAGCGTCCCGCTCAAATTTCGCCGTGTCCTCGCCCTCTTCCTTGTATGGGCGTGATCCCTCATCTCCCTCGCCATTGGCATGTCTTGCCTCTCCATCTCTGTCCCCATGTGTTGACAGAATGAAATGCAGGCATCAACGCCTTTGTCAAGTCTAATAGAGACAAGAACCGCATAAAGGAGCAGGTCCCGCCGCCTACAGACATCTCCATAAACACCAATGGTTCACTTCAAGTTCCCTCGCCTCTATCGCTTCTGGCTGTCCCGCAGCGTCGCAAACAGACGTCTTCGCCGCCGGCGTCGTCGTCACGGTCATCTCCGCGCTCATCCTCGTCCTCACCACCCTCTACCTCGCCTTCCTCCTCCTCGACCACTGCCGCGGACGCACCACCTCCCCGTCATCCACTTCACCGTTCTCCGCTCGCCCCAGCATCTCGACGCACACGCTGACTTTACAGTACGTCACGCTCGCCTTCCTCGCGGTGTGGCTCTTCGCGACGCAGGTCGCCGTGTCGGTGTTCGTGGCGCAGCGCTCTGCGCGCGTGGGCGCGTCGATCAATGGAGTGCCGCTGCCGGCGAATCTGCTCAAGACGGTGGAGCGGGCGTTGGGTGCGATGACGAGGTATCGGGATTTCGGGTATTGTGCGTGACGCTCTTTTCTTTTCTCTATTCATTGCCTTGCCTCTCGCTAACGTTGCTCACAATAAAACTCCTCGCCATCCTCCCCTGGTTCACCTTCCTCTTCACGCTCATCGCCGCCATCACCGCCTTCCTCGCCGCCCGCCGTGCCCGTGCCCACGCCGCACCGACGACCACGACCACGACCACGGATCCGGCACAAGACGGTGCCGGCGGAGCCCAAGCCCGCTGTGTAGCAGGTCCGCGGCGTGACCGGCGCATTGTTGGCGCGCGGCGCGCTGGGAGAGCGTGCCGATGGGCGTACTTGCGGAATGGAGTCGTGCGTTCGTTTTTCTACGACCGACACAAACACCCTATCATGGACCTGAAGCGCAGGGTTGCGAAAGAGCTCGTATGGACACGGCCCCGCGGGCAACGCGCGCGGCGGATGCTGCCGTGGTTGAGCGCGGACGCCGACATATGTACATCCTATACACACTTGCGCAGACATTGGCGCGTTCGTTCAACTTAATGGTTTTTTGTGGTTTTCAAACGTTGCATATGATTGCCAATGAGGTTCTTTCAGTTGAACGAAGAGGTAGGAGCCAACAAAAATGCGCGGAGCCTTCAGTATAATGCCCCTGGACGGAATCGAACCGTCGTGTCCTCAGCGTGCTCATGAATGAAACGCTCGAGTATTGGAGTGAGGCGATTTCCTAAGTCTACAGAGGCTTATTCACTCATCTTTTCAACTCTGCGGGATGCGTGACCTTTTTTTCTCGCGATGTTTTCGTCCCACGGTCAATGCTTACAATGTGGAATCTGGATTCTGCAGAGTGGTGACACGAATGTACTTGAGTATAACAATGAGTAGACTGAGCACAGACGTCACACGCTACAGGCGTTGGATGTTCGGAGGGAATGCATGTGGAGAGGAAGCAATTCGGCATAAAAACACTTCGGGTCGCGTACTATGCCTCTGGAGGGAATCAAACCCTCTTCTCCTCAATGCAACTGATCCTGAGCACAATGTACTATCATTGTGAGGCGACTTCCCATGTCCACAGAGGCTTTGCTTTACTTTCAACTGGGTTGGATGTGTGTATATTTCTTGGGGTGTTCTTGTGTCTTCAATTGATCCCACGGATACTACACTTGCGCAGACCTTGGCGCGTTCGTTCAACTCAATGGCCAATTTCGTACATCCCATACAGATATATACCATCACCGGTGAAGAGCATGCACTCAGCGCGGGTATTTCAGTTGAACGAAGAGGATGGAGCCAAAAAGTCCTATCACGGGCGCGCAACATGCCCTTGGACGGAATCGAACCATCGTGTCCTCCACGTACTCGTCGAACTTGGACTAAACATTTTTGTGAGGTGACTGCCCATGTCCACAGAGGCTTATTCACTCACCTCTGCAACTCGGAGGTGTGTGCTTTTCTTGCGGATGGTCTTGGATTTTTTTTTGTCCCACGGTTGACAGTGTTCACGTTGGACGAGGCATGAGCGTGCCGGCAGCGTGCCAGCCGGTGGAATATCACAATTATGCAGAGCGATTCCGAGAGAACTCACAACTCAGGCTCTTGCTGTCATGGGTGACACAAAGAAAGAAACACTCTCACCATCGCGCAGGCCTCCGGAGGGAATCGAACCCCCGTCTTGTCGATACACACGCTTAAACTTGTGCGAGGCGGAATCCGTTTGAGGGGACTTCCTAAGTCCACAGAGGATTATTCACTCACCTTCGCGACTAGGAGGAATGTGTGTACTTTTGGGCTGATTTTGAACCGGTCCGTCCCACGGTTGGATTTGTGTCTGTGTTCAATTCAATCGGGAGGCCCGTGAATGGTAGTGTGTTCGAGTAGTTCATGAATTACGGGACGCATGCAGAAAGGTCCCTGGGTGAACTCAACATTCCCAGCTCTTCCTGTCAAGGTTGGGGGAAAGGGCATCTATCGTTCTCAGGCCTCTGAAGGGAATCGAACCCTCGTCTCCTCAATACTCTCTTTCGGGAGATGAATCTGGATGAGGTGATTCCACAAGTCCACAGCGGCTTATAGACTGCTTGTTGAGATCCAATCGAGTGCATGTGGACTTTTCAGGCGATTTTGCATGTTCATCTTTTTCCACGGTTGGATTTGTGCTTGGAGTGTATGCGCTTTTGGGTGATATTGCACATTCATGTCCCACTGAAATTGGGTAACTTGTGCAAATTACCCCGGCCTCTCGGGCATCAGCTATGTATCTGATGGCGGAATTCGCGCATTCATATTCTCCCACGGTTGAATTCGTGTTCAATCTGATTGAGTGGCTCGTGGTTCAGGGCAAAAAGGAAAGATGGCAAAGCTTGGCATTTCCCCAGGATTTGTGCTACATTTGCATCAAAGTATCTCAGGATCAAGCATCCCGGGCATCGCCCCGGGCATATCTGCAAACCAATTCTGGCTCGAATTCACGGTTCTGCATGCTGTTCTGCCGTGGACACCCAAAAAGTTTGTATTTATCAACATGTGTCCGGAGGAGTCTCACCCCCGTCTCCTCAAGGATAATTTACTGCCGTCCGCCAAGAAGCAAAGTGTGGGAGGTGACTTAGATAGTCCACAGAGGTATATGTACCTCTTCCTCCAAGTCAATCTACCGTGAATGTAATTTGATGAACCACCACCTTCATTCTCCCACGGTTGGATTTGTGTTCATTTTGAATCGGGCATCTCGGGGATTGCTATCTGCGTACACCTGGAGCGTATAACAATTGTAGCGCGCTATCGCGGCAAAGCCCACTGACTGTTAAGTTTGATGGTTTCTAATTGAACCCAAAAAAAAATGCCATTGAACTCAGCAGCCGTCTTTGTACAAATCCAATGCTGCGACTCAACTCATCGGCAGGAATTCGAACGAGGAGGAGGAGAAAGAATTATAACCGCGGGATCCCAGCGAGAAACAAGCCTGAGTGCCTCACGGAAGACCAAAAATATTTTGAGAGTAGTTACGGGGAGACTCAATCATCGCGATATCTAGGATGGTCGAAGTCAGATTCATATCGACGATGACAAACAAAGGTGCGAGAGGGACATCAGACTCAAACCATAATTGCCAATTGCCGGCGAGGGGAATGGCCAGAGAAAACATTACCACGATGAGACGGCCCAGAAACATGTATGGGCATACATCGTGTATTTTTGTGATTCTTAGGCATAACCAATGCTCCTAGGGATAACAGATTGCACTCCTAGGCTAGTGTAATCAAGCCTAGGGTCCTCTACACGGTGATATAAAGGAGAATCAGAGTGAGATCCGAGCTGCTGGTTGTAAACGTCCAAGATGCGCAAGCTAGACTTACTACTAAGGATATATACCAAGCCCGGACTATCGAACGATGAACTTCTATTGCTACAAACGACCGAGACTGCATAGGCATGACTGGCAGGGAATACTAGATGGCCCTAGGGCACAAGATATCGGTACTAGACGCTTGCTAGGCCAGAGCTGGGCTCGCTAGGAACGTTTAATACTTGTCAGGGAGTAGCCTAGGCTGGGCGTTGAACCCCCTAGGCCTCAAGACTTGAAACTGGAATACACCCTAGACATCGAGGGAAGGGTCTAGGGCCGTGTAAAAGGAATGTTGCTCACAGGATTCGAACCAACGAGGGTTCCAAGAGATCAGAAGAGTCAGGTGACAGACGCGTCGCGTCGACACTACAAATAGGGACAAAGCGTGGTTGAATTACGGGAATTACGAGCGCTGTCCCGGGCTGCCGCCTTGGCGTGCGCCCTGCCGAAGTAGAACATGTGGAATAATGCAGCGAGCAGGTCTTATAAACCAGCGAGCGGATATTACTCACCAGCGATCGAGGTCACGGTTTTGGCGGGTGCAGACCTGCCTTGCCTAGGACATTAGAAAGCACCGACGAGACCATGTGGAGAGCACGAGGAATAATCCAGCGAGGGGATATTATCAAGCATGCCGATCCAGGCACGTCCTAGGGCCGAGCGGCGGGTGCCTAGGGCATTTGGAAATATACCCAATCCAGCAAACCGATCGCACCAAAAGCGATCGGCCGGCCAGACTTCACGACAACTCGACACGGCAGCCGTTTTCTTGGCTGCTGTATGACTCAAGACTTTATCTAGCTCGCTCATTTTCCTGTTATCTCCATATATTTCCTGTAACTGTATATAAAGCTGCCTAGGAGCACCGCAAAAACCGAGTTCATTGCGACGAGATCCCCCAGACTTAGGTCGAAGGTTTCAATAAAGTCTGTGGTGTCCTCAGGTCGGCTTCGCGGAGATTCGTTCAATTTCTGTTTGTAGTTGCTCTATAAATTGGTGTTTGTGTGATAATTGATTGAGTTGTGATATAAATTCCACGTTGTCTGACCCGTAAGAAGGCATTCACGTACAAACGAGTCGCTGCAGCACTGGCATAAGCTCCAAGAGGATTGCCGTTGGGTTCTGAGTACTAGACGTGCTGCCTTGCCCCCGGATTCTTTCTGTTGTCTTTTGCATTGGTTGTAGGATTCCCAAACAAACGTTCTTTGGCCAGACGCTAGAGTCCACTGTTTAAGAAGGTCTTGCAGTGTTGGTTTCATAAAGTCCTCTGTTCCCTGGGTCATAAAGTTGACGCCTTGGACCTTGGCATCGATCCTAGGGCTTTAAAGTAAGCTCCTAGCGTTCAACCCGTCCCGGAAAAAACACATATAAAACATTTGGTTCATTGCCTAGGCGAGGCATTTCAGTCAGTTTATACTACTGGAAGTTCAGTACAAGATTGTAGACCCCACCCCAACGAGACTTTGTTGCGTTTAGTTCGATTCCAGCTGTCCGCATACTACGGAACGAACCCCGTCCCCGCAACTTTGGTGTGCGCTAATAGTATAAGTGTGTGTGTGTGTGTGTGTGTTGGTTGGTTGGTTTTGTGTTCATTCACGAAGCTAAACTAGTTAGCATTCATATACCCCATAGTCAAGCGCCCCGTTTCATCTGGAGCCCCACGCGGGGGTTCAGTTTCGAAACTTTTCGTAACAAAAAGTTTTTGGTTCCAAAAACCGGGGGGAGTGGGAAGTCTCAGGACTTTTAGACGGTTGCAGTTGAACGTGAAATATATCGATTGAGCCACAAACCTGTCAGACGAACAGTCAAACAGTTTGCAAAGTCGATCGCGCATTCCTAGGAGGGTACAGTCGTCTCTTATACCAGAGCCTGTAGCTTTTTCGGTTTCCGCAAAACCAAGGACAACATATACTTCGAAGAGGACTGCTGCAAGCATCTCTTCAGGTACTAGCGAGTTCCAAGTGGCGCAAGACAGCGTTTCAAGAGGGCGTGAGCAAGTTGCGTCAACATCGAAAGCGCGTCAGGCAGATCTAGAGCTTGATAGACAAAGAGGACCGTCCTTGCCACCTTCACCCGAGCGTGGTAGATCACCCCCTTCTTTGGAACAACCGGAAGATAATCCGGGTCAGACTGAGGCACGCATCTCGAACCCGCAGCCTAGTCAGAACACAAATCCTGTGTTGAATAGTTCAATACAGCCCCCTGCGTCTATAACAGTCCAAACAACTGTCCTAGCGCATCCCGTACAGTCAAGTTCTGTGCAAAAACCTGTACAATTAAAACCCGTACAAAAGAAACTGCAATACAACATGTTGGGACCTGGAGCTATGGATGTTACCAAACTTCCGAAGGCTTGGGGCAAATATGAGTTGCAGTGGAACGGCAAATCGAGTGAACTAAAGTGGTATCTTGATGCTATTGAAGACGTTATTCGATCAGCCAAACCGGCGAATGATCAAGAGAAGAAGTGGCTCCTACTCCGATATGTGAAGCCAGAGATTAGACCCCAGTGGGAAGCTTTTGAAGCCATCGAAGAGAAATACTCGTACGAAGATCTCAAGGACGAGGTCCTGGACAATTATCCAGAGTGCAAGGATTCCGAGCATGGTTCCATAGCAGCCCTAGAGAAGTTTGTGGCCCAGACAGACAGAGTTACCGGTAAAAGCCTATCAAATCTGAAGAGCTATGTTCGAGGGTTTAAGGCGCAAGTTAACAAACTCTGGCCGGATCGCATAACGAACCGTGAAGTGTCGAAGCTCTTCATGGCAGGTTTGAGTGAGGGAATGGGAAGAGAAGTCCGCACCATGATGCGGGCGGCTCCCAAAGAAAGCCTAGGATCCTTCAAAGCTGCCAAAGCGCGATGGGAAGAGAACGAGGAAACTAAGGGTAAACCTTATTCGTTCGCTGCGCGAGAGAACGACGACCCTCATGACTGGCGGGATCTGATAGACGCGGCTACCAGGATAGTTGAAGAGGAAGCTTTTCAATACTATACTGCGTACAATGGAGGTCAGGAAGAGAAAGCGCACAAACGCACCGTGCTGATGCATGGGACTGATTCCTCACAAGATTCGGGCATTTTGAGCAAGCTAGTGGAGAAAATTTCGAGCATGGAGACTGCGTTGGAAAAATCAGTGGAGAACCATATGGAAAAAGCGATGGCACAGCACCTGGACAAGTTCGTAACCCAGAATCATAAAGAAGTGGCAGAGCTGAAAGCGCAAGTGGAAGAGTTCAAGTCTAAACCTGCGCCTAGGCAAAATTATCAGCCAAACAACTTCAACAATAATGGTCCTAGGCCCGTTCGTGGGACAGGGTGTTTCTATTGCGATGAAGATGGTCATTACATTGGTGATTGTGTGAAACGGCATGAAGATATTGACAAGGGTATCGTCAAGGTCGTGGACAGACGGACTATGTTCTTTGATAGCAAAAACATTCCGCGAGAGCCTAAACACAAAAGTCAGCGCGTCAAAGCACTTGAGTATTACTCTCACCGGTCGCTCAACCAAAATGTTCAGCTGGATGATCCCTATGCTTACTATGGTGACGAAGAAGAGAATGCGTATGACTCTCGGGACGATGAGATTCGAACGTTGAAAGCCGAGAAATTGCAATTGAACCAGTTGTTGGCAGTTCCACAACCTTCAAAGCAAATTATGCGCAAACCTGAACCAAAACAAGATGAGTCAGGGGGGACGCAAGGCACGGCAACGAAGACCAT